CCACGAAGGCAGTCTCCGGGCGGACGCTCTACCACTAGACCAAGGAGGTGCTCTCCTGGCGGACGCTCTACCACTAGACTGCAGAGGCAGTCTCCGGGCGGACGCTCTACCACTAGACTACAGAGGCAGTCTTCGGGCAGACGCTCTACCACTAGACTACAGAGGCAGTCTTGGGGCGGACGCTCTACCACTAGACTACAGAGGCAGTCTTGGGGCGGACGCTCTACCACTAGACTTCAGAGGCAGTCTCCGGGCGGACGCTCTACCACTAGACTACAGAGGCAGTCTCCGGGCGGACGCTCTACCACTAGACTACAGAGGCAGTCTCCGGGCGGACGCTCTACCACTAGACCATGGAGGCAGTCTCCGGGCGAACGCTCTACCACTAGACTACAGAGGCAGTCCCCAGGCGGATGCTCTACCACTAGACTACAGAGGCAGTCTCCGGGCGGACGCTCTACCACTAGACTACAGAGGCAGTATCCGGGCGGACGCTCTACCACTAGACTACAGAGGCAGTCTCCGGGCGGACGCTCTACCACTAGACCATGGAGGCAGTATCCGGGCGGACGCTCTACCACTAGACTACAGAGGCAGTCCCCGAGCGGACGCTCCACCACTAGACTACAGAGGCAGTCTCCGGGCGGACGCTCTACCACTAGACTACAGAGGCAGTCTCCGGGCGGACGCTCTACCACTAGACCATGGAGGCAGTCTCCGGGCGGACGCTCTACCACTAGACTACAGAGGCAGTCCCCGGGCGGATGCTCTACCACTAGACTACAGAGGCAGTCTCCGGGCGGACGCTCTACCACTAGACTACGGAGGCAGTCTCCGGGCGGACGCTCTACCACTAGACTACAGAGGCAGTTTCCGGGCGGACGCTCTACCACTAGACTACAGAGGCAGTCCCCGGGCGGACGCTCTACCACTAGAATACAGAGGCAGTCTCCGGGCGGACGCTCTACCACTAGACTACAGAGGCAGTCTCCGGGCGGACGCTCTACCACTAGACTACAGAGGCAGTCTCCGGGCGGACGCTCTACCACTAGACTACAGAGGCAGTCTCCGGGCGGACGCTCTACCACTAGACTACAGAGGCAGTCTCCGGGCGGCGCTCTACCACTAGACTACAGAGGCAGTCTCCGGGCGGACGCTCTACCACTAGACCATGGAGGCAGTCTCCGGGCGGTCAAGTGACACTGAATGGAGGAAGCCTAGGGGTGACATCTGGAACAAAGTGGTTGATGCAGTGTGTAGTTACAGTGTATGATATAAGATGAAGAGACAATGGCTTCTGTGAGTTTTGTAACTTTGATCTCTGTTGATGGTCAGCCTCTGTGAGTTTTCTGATTGGTGTTGTTTTAGATATTGGAGGCAAGAGTGATGGTCAAACCCTAGTTGTCAGATACCCTAATTGTCAGATGCCCCATTTGTCAGATAATATTGATCAAATCAGAAAATAATGACATGATAGATGTAGGTATCCAATACTACCCATTGCTGCCTTCATCACCATATAGTATATCATGTATATACACCAATACACATTGCTGCCTTCATCACCGTATAGTATATTGTGTATATACACTGATACACATTGCTGCCTTCATCACCATATAGTATATTGTGTATATACACCAATACCAGTGCTGCCTTCATCACCGTATAGTATATTTTGTATATACACCAATACACATTGCTGCCTTCATCACCGTATAGTATATCATGTATATACACCAATACACATTGCTGCCTTCATCACCATATAGTATATTGTGTATATACACCAATACACATTGCTGCCTTCATCACCATATAGTATATCATGTATATACACCAATACACATTGCTGCCTTCATCACCGTATAGTATATCATGTATATACACCAATACACATTGCTGCCTTCATCACCGTATAGTATATCATGTATATACACCAATACACATTGCTGCCTTCATCACCATATAGTATATCATGTATATACACCAATACACATTGCTGCCTTCATCACCGTATAGTATATTGTGTATATACACTGATACACATTGCTGCCTTCATCACCGTATAGTATATCATGTATATACACCAATACACATTGCTGCCTTCATCACCATATAGTATATCATGTATATACACCAATACACATTGCTGCCTTCATCACCATATAGTATATTGTGTAAATACACCGATACACATTGCTGCCTTCATCACCATATAGTATATTGTGTATATACACCGATACACATTGCTGCCTTCATCACCATATAGTATATCATGTATATACACCGATACACATTGCTGCCTTCATCACCATATAGTATATTGTGTATATACACCAATACACATTGCTGCCTTCATCACCATATAGTATATCATGTATATACACCAATACACATTGCTGCCTTCATCACCGTATAGTATATCATGTATATACACCAATACACATTGCTGCCTTCATCACCATATAGTATATCATGTATATACACCAATACACATTGCTGCCTTCATCACCATATAGTATATCATGTATATACACCAATACACATTGCTGCCTTCATCACCGTATAGTATATTATGTATATACACCCATACACATTGCTGCCTTCATCACCATATAGTATATCATGTATATACACCCATACACATTGCTGCCTTCATCACCATGTAGTATATCGTGTATATACACCGATACACATTGCTGCCTTCATCACCATATAGTATATTGTGAATATACACTGATACACATTGCTGCCTTCATCACCATATAGTATATTTTGTATATACACGAATACACATTGCTGCCTTCATCACCATGTAGTATATTGTGTATATATACCAATACACATTGCTGCCTTCATCACCATATAGTATATTGTGTATATACACCGATACACATTGCTGCCTTCATCACCATATAGTATATCATGTATATACACCAATACACATTGCTGCCTTCATCACCATATAGTATATTGTGTATATACACCGATACACATTGCTGCCTTCATCACCATATAGTATATTGTGTATATACACCGATACACATTGCTGCCTTCATCACCATATAGTATATCATGTATATACAGCGATACACATTGCTGCCTTCATCACCATATAGTATATTGTGTATATACACTGATACACATTGCTGCCTTCATCACCATATAGTATATCATGTATATACACCAATACACATTGCTGCCTTCATCACCATATAGTATATTGTGTATATACACCGATACACATTGCTGCCTTCATCACCATATAGTATATTGTGTATATACACCAATACACATTGCTGCCTTCATCACCATATAGTATATTGTGTATATACACCGATACACATTGCTGCCTTCATCACCATATAGTATATTGTGTATATACACTGATACACATTGCTGCCTTCATCACCATATAGTATATTGTGTATATACACCAATACACATTGCTGCCTTCATCACCATATAGTATATTGTGTATATACACCAATACACATTGCTGTCTTCATCACCATATAGTATGTCATGTATATACACCGATACACATTGCTGCCTTCATCACCATATAGTATGTCATGTATATACAGCGATACACATTGCTGCCTTCGCCACCATATAGTATGTCATGAAATTCATCAACTTACTTCTTTTTATTTTAAATGTGAAGTGTCACAAGCCTCAGTGGAATGTTCAGGGAATATGAAACAGAATGCTGCACTCCACATACCTGAATTTTATGACTTAATTAAGAGGAGGTTTATCTCAACAAGACAGGGAACGTGAGTGGGGTGTTGGAGGTGGTGTCATGCCAGATGGATAAACAAGAATATTACATGCCACTCCTAATGAGTTAAAATAGAAAGCATGTGAAATGTGACATGTTAGGAGTGGAGCAAGTGGCAAGGTTTATGGCCCAGCGTGATGCAGGGCTCTAGTGAACAGGCGGAGGCTGCAGACGAGGGGATGTGACATGCAGGATAGGGTGAGTCATAACACGCCAGTTTCAACTGTTTGTACATAAAGTATCCCATATAATAGATAGGGGTCACTGAGAGCTGTATCTCATACAATAGGTAGGGGTCACTGAGAGCTGGGTAGATGCTGCGTGATGGTGCAGGAGTGCTTCATTAGCCATGTGAGTTTCACACAGATACAGGGACAGCCCTGAGAGGGGGAACAGAAACTGTTCTTTTTAACATATATTTGCTTTAGTTTTTTTTTTATCATGGGTCAACAGAATGTTATTGCTTGTTATTTGTGCTTCTTCAAGGTAAAGAATTTCATATTCTTTGTGATAAATACTCAACACGTTGTGAGATTGATTAAAATAACTGCAGAGTTAGAAATTAGTTCTTATTTTCACTTGTAGACAAATATGATCTGCTACAGAGTTGATTCATGAAATGCTAAACCTTCTGTGAAAGTTGTTGTTCAAGGAAACATGCTAATCCTTCTGAAAGTTTCCTTTGTTTGTTTTTTGTTTAACGACGTACTCAGCAATATTCCACAACATGACTGTTGTCAGTAACTAATTGAGTCTGGACCAGACAAAACAGTGACTGACATCATGAACATCAATTTACGCAATAGGGATTTAATGAAATTTATAAGGGGTGGTTGGGTAGCCTAGTTGTTAAAGCATTTGCTCGTCATGCTGAAGACCTGGATTCAATTCCCTACATGGGTACAATGGGTGAAGCCCATTTCTTGTGTTCACCAGCGTGATATTGCTGGTATAATGCTAAAAGCAGCATAAAACCTCACCATGTCCCACTTGCCCGCCTTATCCGCCTTGTCCCACTTGTCCGCCTTGGTCCGCCTTGTCCCACTTGCCCGCCTTGTCCCGCCTTGTCCGCCTTGTCCCACTTTTCCGCCTTGTCCCACTTGTCCGCCTTGTCCCACTTGTCCGCCTTGTCCCACTTATCCGCCTTGTCCCACTTGCCCGCCTTGTCCCACTTGCCCGCCTTTTCCGCCTTGTCCCACTTTTCCGCCTTGTCTCACTTGTCCGCCTTGTCCCACTTGCCCGCCTTGTCCCACTTGCCGGCCTTGTCCGCCTTGTCCCACTTTTCCGCCTTGTCCCACTTATCCGCCTTGTCCCACTTGCCTGCCTTATCCGCCTTGTCCCACTTGCCGGCCTTGTCCCACTTGCCCGCCTTGTCCCACTTTTCCGCCTTGTCTCACTTGTCCGCCTTGTCCCACTTGCCCGCCTTGTCCGCCTTGTCCCACTTTTCCGCCTTGTCCCACTTATCCGCCTTGTCCCACTTGCCTGCCTTATCCGCCTTGTCCCACTTGCCGGCCTTGTCCCACTTGCCCGCCTTGTCCGCCTTGTCCCACTTTTCCGCCTTGTCTCACTTGTCCGCCTTGTCCCACTTTTCAGCCTTGTCCCACTTGCCCGCCTTGTCCCACTTGCCCGCCTTGTCCCACTTGCCCGCCTTGTCCGCCTTGTCCCACTTTTCCGCCTTGTCCCACTTATCCGCCTTGTCCCACTTGCCTGCCTTATCCGCCTTGTCCCACTTGCCCGCCTTGTCCCACTTGCCCGCCTTATCCGCCTTGTCCCACTTATCCGCCTTGTCTCACTTTTCCGCCTTGTCCCACTTGCCCGCCTTGTCCCACTTGCCCGCCTTGTCCCACTTGTCCGCCTTGTCCCACTTATCCGCCTTGTCCCACTTTTCCGCCTTGTCCCACTTGCCCGCCTTGTCCCACTTGTCCGCCTTGTCCCACTTATCCGCCTTGTCCCACTTTTCCGCCTTGTCCGCCTTGTCCCACTTGTCCGCCTTGTCCCACTTTTCCGCCTTGTCTCACTTTTCCGCCTTGTCCCACTTTTCTGCCTTGTCCCACTTGCCCGCCTTGTCCCACTTGCCCGCCTTGTCCTGCCTTGTCCCACTTGTCCACCTTGTCCCACTTTTCCGCCTTGTCCCACTTTTTCGCCTTGTCTCACTTTTTCGCCTTGTCCCACTTGCCCGCCTTGTCCCACTTTTCCGCCTTGTCCCACTTTTTCGCCTTGTCTCACTTTTTCGCCTTGTCCCACTTGCCCGCCTTGTCCCGCCTTGTCCCACTTGTCTGCCTTGTCCGCCTTGTCCCACTTTTTCGCCTTGTCTCACTTGCCTGCCTTGTCCCACTTGCCCGCCTTGTCCCACTTGCCCGCCTTGTCCCACTTGCCCACCTTGTCCCACTTGTCCCACTTGTCCGCCTTGTCCCATTTTTCCGCCTTGTCCCACTTGCCCATCTTGTCCCACTTGTCCGCCTTGTCCCACTTGCCCGCCTTGTCCCACTTGCCCGCCTTGTCCCACTTGTCCGCCTTGTCCCATTTGCCCGCCTTGTCCCACTTGTCCGCTTTGTCCCACTTTTCCGCCTTGTCCCACTTCCCCGCCTTGTCCCACCTGCCTGCCCTAGGAGATACACATCCTGCTTGAACAAGGAGTATCCTTACATCCTCACAGATTGTAGCGGAAACAAGACACAAGCAGGATGCAAGCTCAGTTTAAGTCCATGTAGACTGGGGGAATAGATCACCTGTTGGTGGTTTGATCCCCTGGCTGTGTCATATCAAAAGATGGTACTTGTTGTTACCCTGCCTGATGTTTGACATTAAGAGAATAGAACAAGGACTGGAAATCAGTATACTGTGTCTGAGTTGGGTATCTCTGTTAAACTGCGGCATCAGTTGGCTAACACTATAAACCCAGCGTAAGTCCAGACTGGCACAAGTAGCCACACACACATGCATGGACTATGTCAAAGAATCTTCATCGTGACATGAAACCCTGTTTGCTACATTTGTAAATGTAGTAATATATTGGGGCAAATATAAATAAGTATATTTATGTGTCATTATCAATATGGAGATGGAATATAGTATCCTTCTGATACAACTTGCCTCTGACGATCTTTTTATCAATTAGTGTGTACACATTGCGACTATCAAGCTCCTCACAGCGATAGCCTGTTCGCGGACTTCTCTATACCAAGAGTAAAACGAAGGTGTCACGCGCTGGGAAGGACCTTGGGCTACCTTGTGACCATAATATCCCCTATGGCCTCCCGTTTGCCCATTGTCCATTGCTAACTACCCATGGCCTCCCATTTGCCCATTGTCCATTGCTAACTACCCATGGCCTCCCGTTTGCCCATTGTCCATTGCTAACTACCCATGGCCTCCCGTTTGCCCATTGTCCATTGCTAACTACCCATGGCCTCCCGTTTGCCCATTGTCCATTGCTAACTACCCATGGCCTCCCGTTTTCCCATTGTCCATTGCTAACTACCCATGGCCTCCCGTTTGCCCATTGTCCATTGCTAACTACCCATGGCCTCCCGTTTGCCCATTGTCCATTGCTAACTACCCATGGCCTCCCGTTTGCCCATTGTCCATTGCTAACTACCCATGGCCTCCCTTTTGCCCATTGTCCATTGCTAACTACCCATGGCCTCCCGTTTGCCCATTGTCCATTGCTAACTACCCATGGCCTCCCGTTTGCCCATTGTCCATTGCTAACTACCCATGGCCTCCCTTTTGCCCATTGTCCATTGCTAACTACCCATGGCCTCCCGTTTGCCCATTGTCCATTGCTTACTACCCATGGCCTCCCGTTTGCCCATTGTCCATTGCTAACTACCCATGGCCTCCCGTTTGCCCATTGTCCATTGCTAACTATCCATGGCCTCCCGTTTGCCCATTGTCCATTGCTAACTACCCATGGCCTCCCGTTTGCCCATTGTCCATTGCTAACTACCCATGGCCTCCCGTTTTCCCATTGTCCATTGCTAACTACCCATGGCCTCCTATTTTCCCATTGTCCATTGCTAACTACCCATGGCCTCCTATTTTCCCATTGTCCATTGCTAACTACCCATGGCCTCCCGTTTGCCCATTGTCCATTGCTAATTACCCATGGCCTCCTATTTTCCCATTGTCCATTGCTAACTACCCATGGCCTCCTATTTTCCCATTGGCCATTGCTAACAACCCATGGCCTCCTGTTTGCCCATTGTCCATTGCTAACTACCCATGGCCTCCCGTTTTCCCATTGTCCATTGCTAACTACCCATGTTCTCCTATTTTCCCATTGTCCATTGCTAACTACCCATGGCCTCCTATTTTCCCATTGTCCATTGCTAACTACCCATGGCCTCCCGTTTGCCCATTGTCCATTGCTAATTACCCATGGCCTCCTATTTTCCCATTGTCCATTGCTAACTACCCATGGCCTCCTATTTTCCCATTGTCCATTGCTAACTACCTATGGCCTCCCGTTTGCCCATTGTCCATTGCTAACTACCCATGGCCTCCCGTTTGCCCATTGTCCATTGCTAACTATCCATGGCCTCCCGTTTGCCCATTGTCCATTGCTAACTACCCATGGCCTCCCGTTTGCCCATTGTCCATTGCTAACTACCCATGGCCTCCCGTTTGCCCATTGTCCATTGCTAACTACCCATGGCCTCCCGTTTGCCCATTGTCCATTGCTAACTACCCATGGCCTCCCGTTTTCCCATTGTCCATTGCTAACTACCCATGGCCTCCCGTTTGCCCATTGTCCATTGCTAACTACCCATGGCCTCCCGTTTGCCCATTGTCCATTGCTAACTACCCATGGCCTCCCGTTTGCCCATTGTCCATTGCTAACTACCCATGGCCTCCCGTTTGCCCATTGTCCATTGCTAACTACCCATGGCCTCCCGTTTGCCCATTGTCCATTGCTAACTATCCATGGCCTCCCGTTTGCCCATTGTCCATTGCTAACTACCCATGGCCTCCCGTTTGCCCATTGTCCATTGCTAACTACCCATGGCCTCCCTTTTGCCCATTGTCCATTGCTAACTACCCATGGCCTCCTATTTTCCCATTGTCCATTGCTAACTACCCATGGCCTCCTATTTTCCCATTGTCCATTGCTAACTACCCATGGCCTCCCGTTTGCCCATTGTCCATTGCTAACTACCCATGGCCTCCCTTTTGCCCATTGTCCATTGCTAACTACCCATGGCCTCCCGTTTGCCCATTGTCCATTGCTTACTACCCATGGCCTCCCGTTTGCCCATTGTCCATTGCTAACTACCCATGTCCTCCCGTTTGCCCATTGTCCATTGCTAACTATCCATGGCCTCCCGTTTGCCCATTGTCCATTGCTAACTACCCATGGCCTCCCGTTTGCCCATTGTCCATTGCTAACTACCCATGGCCTCCCGTTTTCCCATTGTCCATTGCTAACTACCCATGGCCTCCTATTTTCCCATTGTCCATTGCTAACTACGCATGGCCTCCCGTTTGCCCATTGTCCATTGCTAATTTCCCATGGCCTCCTATTTTCCCATTGTCCATTGCTAACTACCCATGGCCTCCTATTTTCCCATTGTCCATTGCTAACTACCCATGGCCTCCCGTTTGCCCATTGTCCATTGCTAACTACCCATGGCCTCCCGTTTTCCCATTGTCCATTGCTAACTACCCATGTTCTCCTATTTTCCCATTGTCCATTGCTAACTACCCATGGCCTCCTATTTTCCCATTGTCCATTGCTAACTACCCATGGCCTCCCGTTTGCCCATTGTCCATTGCTAATTACCCATGGCCTCCTATTTTCCCATTGTCCATTGCTAACTACCCATGGCCTCCTATTTTCCCATTGTCCATTGCTAACTACCCATGGCCTCCCGTTTGCCCATTGTCCATTGCTAACTACCCATGGCCTCCCGTTTGCCCATTGTCCATTGCTAACTATCCATGGCCTCCCGTTTGCCCATTGTCCATTGCTAACTACCCATGGCCTCCCGTTTGCCCATTGTCCATTGCTAACTACCCATGGCCTCCCGTTTGCCCATTGTCCATTGCTAACTACCCATGGCCTCCCGTTTGCCCATTGTCCATTGCTAACTACCCATGGCCTCCCGTTTTCCCATTGTCCATTGCTAACTACCCATGGCCTCCCGTTTGCCCATTGTCCATTGCTAACTACCCATGGCCTCCCGTTTGCCCATTGTCCATTGCTAACTACCCATGGCCTCCCGTTTGCCCATTGTCCATTGCTAACTACCCATGGCCTCCCGTTTGCCCATTGTCCATTGCTAACTACCCATGGCCTCCCGTTTGCCCATTGTCCATTGCTAACTACCCATGGCCTCCCGTTTGCCCATTGTCCATTGCTAACTATCCATGGCCTCCCGTTTGCCCATTGTCCATTGCTAACTACCCATGGCCTCCCGTTTGCCCATTGTCCATTGCTAACTACCCATGGCCTCCCGTTTTCCCATTGTCCATTGCTAACTACCCATGGCCTCCTATTTTCCCATTGTCCATTGCTAACTACCCATGGCCTCCTATTTTCCCATTGTCCATTGCTAACTACCCATGGCCTCCCGTTTGCCCATTGTCCATTGCTAATTACCCATGGCCTCCTATTTTCCCATTGTCCATTGCTTACTACCCATGGCCTCCTATTTTCCCATTGTCCATTGCTAACTACCCATGGCCTCCCGTTTGCCCATTGTCCATTGCTAACTACCCATGGCCTCCCGTTTTCCCATTGTCCATTGCTAACTACCCATGTTCTCCTATTTTCCCATTGTCCATTGCTAACTACCCATGGCCTCCTATTTTCCCATTGTCCATTGCTAACTACCCATGGCCTCCCGTTTGCCCATTGTCCATTGCTAATTACCCATGGCCTCCTATTTTCCCATTGTCCATTGCTAACTACCCATGGCCTCCTATTTTCCCATTGTCCATTGCTAACTACCCATGGCCTCCCGTTTGCCCATTGTCCATTGCTAACTACCCATGGCCTCCCGTTTGCCCATTGTCCATTGCCCATTATCAATCAGCGAAGTCCTGACTATCAGTTGTCCATTGCTATCAACTATCAGCGCTAATTTACTGTTAAGTGTTGGCTTCCATTTGTTCATTGCTAATCACCTATCAGCGCCAATTAACTGTTGGCTCCTCTTAAGTTTCTACCTTTTGTTATCTTATTACTTTTGTTGTTCTATATACATATACAGGTACATATATATGTTATGAACATACGTTGCCATTTAGAAAGTGGTCAAATGTAACAAATGTTCTATTTGGGATTAGACCGCCTCTCTGGTCTAGCGGTAGAGCGTCCGCCCCGGAGAGCGGAAGGACCGGGGCTCGATTCCCGGCCGTGTCATACCAAAAGATGTTAAAAGATGGTAATTGTTATTACCCTGTCTGGTGCTCAGCATTAAGGGGCTAAAACAAGGACTGGTCGGCTCAGAGTCAGTATACTGTGTCTGAATGGGGTATTCATGTTAAACTGCGGCATGGTATCTCAGTGAGCTAGCACTATTTATCGGCATCAGTCAGGACTAGTACAAGCAGCCACACAAACACACACACGTACATGCATGTCGCTATAAAAGTGCAATATTCTTGGAAGCGACGTTAAACCCCATTTCACCTCACCTCACCTATTTGGGATTACACTTTCTCAGGTAAGTACAGATTCTCGTACATTTTGGGGACTGGACTCAACTCGTCAGGCCGAAGACCAAAGTTCAATACCCAACATGGGTACAGTGTGTGAAGCTCATTTCTGGTGTCCCCTGTTGTGATATTGCTGGAATATTGGTAAAAGCGCCATAAACAATACTCTCTCACTCACTCACTCACTCACTCATGGCCTGAATCACTGTGATCTTCATGTCATCCTCTCTATGTCTACCTTACTCCTGCATAACCCACTCAAGATGTCAGTATATCCATGCTGGATGTCAGGCCTGATGACTTGTCAATGCAATCATGAAAATAATCCCTTTGTCGACCAGTAACCCATGGCCCATTAGATGTTGATAAGCTGGAGGCAAAAAAGCCATGTCAATCACTTCCACTTGACTTGAGTGTGGTAGCAGTTGGTGCATGGAGTGTGTTCACTGTGCCGGCCACGTTTACACTGAGTGGTGGCGGGGGAGAGTGTTGTATCTCTCATGGTCACACTGTACTTAAGGGGGCTGTTTCCGGCTGTGGCATTGTTCCCATCTAGAGACCCTTAGATCTTGGAATGTTTACATGAGGACAAGAACCAGTTGAATTTCTTGTCTTACATGAACTGAGTGGAATCTTCACCACCCCTGGTCACATTGTATTAGTCACATTGTTACAGTTACACAGGGTTCCCCCTAGACTCCAATATCTGAGAGTTACCTTGAGAGTCAAATGTTTTATTGTATGATTAATGAAATTTAAAGTGTTCACTGTTAATGTTACACTTAAAGTTAAGTATCTTTTAAATATTATATGTCTTTAGTTTAAGTTCACAAGTGCTAATTAATGTTCTCAGCTGATTGTACTACAGAGAAATAAAGGATATATGAATGAAAATCAAAGTTTGTTGGTTTTATTTTTTCACAATCTTTAATTACTTCACAGCTCATGAAACAATTTACAGTGACACTAATACAGGATGAATAAATAAAATCAGTCTCAACTGTGAGACATAATTTTTAATCATGGATGGATATTAAAATACATTTCATGTCAGATTATAATTTAATACCACTAACTCATTTACATCTTTTATCTAGTTATCTTGTATTATCTATTAACAGTGAAGTTGAACTGAAGAATTGTGAACACTCGTAATATTTTCTGGTTGAATACAGTTTATTAGCAACAACAAACACGCCCAAAGCTTTACATTTCATATATACCATATTTATTCGTGTATAATACGCACCCCTAATTATGGGCAATTAAATCCTGAAAAAAATATCTCTCGTGTATAATACGCACAGACTTTTCTTCAGTCTCAATTCAGGCTGTCATGATCTGTCATCGTAAATAACATAACAAATCCGAATTGAATTACCCAAGTTAATCCTGTTGTTACACTATCTGGTAATAAAAATGTGTTCTCTGTATATCTGACCTTATGTTTGTCATCTATTTTATTAAAAATTTCATTCAATAATGTTTACCTAAATTTCGGCAAAAACATATGTCCCTCCGATACTTAGGCCTACAACCTCCGTTTACCCCGTTCCATAGGTTCCGCTTAACCACATACTGTGACCATGCCAAATCACATTATTCACTGCAACAATGATAATATTTTCTTTTGTTTCATTTTTTACGAGTCTACACATCTAGATAAACATATGTCATGGTTAACTTTTAGTGAGAAAATATGACGAAACGTGAAAAACCTTGTCCATTTGCGTAGTTTTCCTTTGTTTACATCACATGCAGTCATCGAAAGTACACGGAGTGTGAGAGTTACGTTCACTTTGATGAATAAATATGTTTTGTCGTGTACCTCACGGTCGCACAGTTTTAGTAGCATATCTATATAATTATGCAAAACAATTTGTAATTTTTTAGTGTTTGTTTTAAAAGAGAGAAAAGTCTGGTCATGTGACAGGCTATGCAAATTAGCCCGTGGCAGTGGTGTAATGTGAAGTTATGTTACTTCTAAAAACGACGATTAATTAAAAACTAGACGTAAATTTTAAGACGTTTGCATATATTGTCTTCGGAAAATGTTTATAAATTAAGTTCAGGTGAGTAGTTGTAATATTTTCATTCCAAAGCTGGTAAACAACAACATAGATATTTTGAAATTGCGTCACACAATCATGTAATTGTACTGAAGTACGCAACACAATCATGTAATTGTACTGAAGTACGCAACTCAATCATGTAATTGTACTGAAGTACGCAACTCATTCATGTAATTGTACTGAAGTACGCAACTCAATCATGTAATTGTACTTAAGTACGCAACACAATCATGTAATTGTACTGAAGTACGCAACTCAATCATGTAATTGTACTGAAGTACGCAACTCAATCATGTAATTGTACTGAAGTACGCAACTCAATCATGTAATTGTACTGAAGTACGCAACTCAATCATGTAACTACACTGGCTGGTTAGGAAAAGTGTTCATTGCATATCTGGACTTATGTTTATAATCAAATTTATTAATTTTGTTCAAAATTTCAATATTGTTTACATTAATTTTGGTGAATTTGAGTGTGAAGTGATTGGGAGATCACTACTATTTACAGCAACAATGGTCAGATTACCACCGTTAACGCCTTAAAATAAACTTTGGTTGACAGAGAATGAATACAGATGTCTTAAATGCCATACTTTGACTCGTTAAGAGTCATATCTGTTGTAGTTGGACGATTCTATGTCAACATAAATCTTTAAAATCTGTATCAAAGTGCTACGCTTATTGTATTTATTATTTCAAATATATATAGTAAAACTGTGACTAAAATAACTCAATATTGGAATATTTTACCGGGCTACTCCTGATAAAATAATAGTTCAGGTATATATCATTCTTCTCAAAATTCTTTAAAGTCATATTATTGGGTCATTTTTAACTGAATCATTGGTAGATTGGGAGAAAACGTGTATATATATATATTTGATCATGCTGATTGCTGTTTTAGCTTAATTTACGAGAAAATACACACGGTAATCTTAATATAAAACAATGCCTGGCAGAACAGAAAATACAAATACAATTTAAACAGTAAATCATCATGTCTATTGATATTTTATTTTAAATTTCAAATTTGTATTGACAAAGTTTGTTATCACCTGTCTGTGTACCTGAATTTGCTGAAGGGATATATTTCTGAGCAAAATACTTGAAAATGTTTTTTAAAGTAAATAAAGTACACTGGTCACACATCTCAATGTCCTACAGATCACATGCATGTCACATATCTTGTCTACAGGTCACATAACTTATCTACAGGCCACATATTTTGTCCTACAGGTCACATATCTTGCTTTACAGGTCACATACCTTGTCCTACAGGTCACATATCTTGTCTACAGGTCATATATCTTGTTCTACAGGTCACATATCTTGTTATACAGGTCACATATCTTGTCCTACAGGTCACATATCTTGTCTACAGGTCACATATCTTGTCTAAAGGTCACATATCTTGTCCTACAGGTCACATATCTTGTCTACAGGTCTCATATCTTGTTCTACAGGTCACATATCTTGTCTACAGGTCACATATCTTGTGCCACATGTCACAAGCAGCTTGTCCTACAGGTCACATACAGGTCACATATCTTGTCCTACAGGTCACATGGCTTGTGCCACATGTCATAAGCAGCTTGTCCTACAGGTCACAAATCTTGTCCTACAGGTCACATATCTTGTCCTACAGGTCACATGGCTTATGCCACACATCGCGTATCTTGCCCTACAGGTCACATGGCTTGTGCTACAAGTTCCTGATCACACGCCTTCTCTTATAAATTACGCACCTTGTGTTGCAAATTACATGGCTTGTCTTACAAATTCCATGGCTTGTCTTACAAGTTACTCTGCTTGAGTAATTTGCAAGGCTTGTCCCTAAGCTGCAAAATCTGTCCACAAGCTACAAGGACTTTCCTTTAGGCTATGTGTTTTCTAGCTATATGTGTGTTCCCCAAACAATACGAATGGCCACAAGCACTCAGCATGATGCCATCAGGCGTCATGTATGTGTCATACTTGTCCCACAGCTTGTCCCCCGGGCCGCCTGTTATAGTGTATTATACAGGGATACACAGATGATAAGCCTCTAACTTTACATGCAGCTAAAATTCGTACAGGTTTTTGTGTGGCAAGCAGATTTAATTTGAGATGTGCTCTAAGTGAAGGCAGAGCGAGACTCTAACACACAAACTCTACCACAATCTGGGAACTTGTTTGTTGAGCTGTGTTTATTTTTATTGTTTTGTTTGCAGGTGTCTGCATCGATGTTTAACCAAGCGTTGGAATGGCAGCTGGGAAGTGACAAACACCTCGACTGACCTCGATCACTCCACTCGCCTGCCCACTGGCCCGCTGCAACGCCACCACGTTGGATACGGTGTGGACGTCAGGTGTGCTGGGACCACTGTCACATGGGCGCCGGAAGTTGTGTATACTAGTTGCTAACAAGGCTGGGTAAGTGAGTGACTTGCACATGCGTGACAGATAGGTGATTGTGAACGGTCTACTGTTATGGAGGACTTGTCCTGGCTGCAGGGATGGTATGGATGATGTTGACTCTCCCCGTCAACAAGGCAACCCTGTTACATACAGTCGTCAGATCGTCCTTTGTTAGCTTTAGCTTAAGCTTAGTGGTAAGGTGTACGTGTCCATCGATTGCTTGCTACAGAATGTCCCTAACTTGAACAGTATTGCCTGAATTTGTGAACTTCATTTAATGATGTAGAAGACTTAACGTTTGATGTAAGCTCATGGTTGTGATGTGTTCGTCCGTCATGGTTGTGGTATATGTTTCAGCCCTGTGAACCGTGGACAAGTGACTTCCACATCGTGATGCATCAGCAACAGTAGGTCCTGAGGAGGTCTGTGTTGTGCTTGAGGAATTCATGTGTGTACGTGGATGAATCTACATTTCACCATACTGATGATATTGACGAAGTAGGCAAATACCAGCTACTGTACTCACATAAGGAGGCTAGGGTACATGGTGCTCAGCATCAACTGGATGAACCTAGGAGAACAGTGACAGATCTACCCTGGATCTATGATGTCTTGGAGTCTAGTCTAGCAGTGCTTAACTCGTGTCAAGTCTAGCAGTGCGTAGCTCATGTCAAGCCTAGCAGTGTGTAGCTCGTGTCAAGTCTAGCAGTGCTTAACTCGTGTCAAGCCTAGCAGTGCATAGCTCATGTCAAGCCTAGCAGTGCGTAGCTCGTGTCAAGCCTAGCAGTTCGTAGCTCGTGTCAAGCCTAGCAGTGCGTAGCTCGTGTCAAGCCTAGCAATGCGTAGCTCGTGTCAAGCCTAGCAGTGCGTAGCTTGTGTCAATATGGCAAGTCGCCGCCTCAAGTTCCAGTACTGCAAGGTGATCATTGCCACATCCATGGTGTGGGTCATGCTGGACGTGTTCCTGCTCATGTACTTCACTGACTGCACCACCATGTCCTCCGCCAACTGCAACAACAACAACAACGTCCGCATTGACCACCATGATGGCCCCAAGCAACAGAAGCAGGAGGGCTTCCTCAACAGAATACTGCCAAAAGGTAGGTCAATACTTACGTTGTACTATTGTCAATACTTGTGTGGTACTATTGTCAATACTTACATAGTACTATTGTCAATAATTATGTGGTACTATTGTCAATACTTATGTGGTACTATTGTCAATACCTATGTAGTACTATTGTCAATACTTATGTAGTAGGACCGCCTCCATGGTCTAGTGGTAGAGCGTCCGCCCGGAGAGCGAAAGGTCCAGGTTTCGATCCCCGACCGCATCATACCAAAAGACGTTAAAAGATGGTACCCTGTCTGGCGTTCAGCATTAAGGGGATAAAACAAGGATGGGTCGGCTCGGAGTCAGTATACTGTGTCTGAGTGGGGTTTTCATGTTCAACTGCGGCATGGTATCTCAGTGAGCTAGCACTATAAATCGGTATCAGTCTGGACTAGTACAAGCAGCCACACAAACACACACACGTACATGCACTTTATAAGTGCAATAATCTTGGACGCGACGTTAAACCCCATTTCACCTCACCTCACACTTATGTAGTACTATTGTCAATACTTATGTAGTACTATTGTCAATACGTATGTAATCTGTAATGAAGGTTTGCAAGTTGAAAAGGATACAGTGCACCAAGATGTTATGTTGTCAGGTGTTGGAAGAGATTTCCATACCTGACTGGATAATGGTGATTTATTTTGTGTATTTATTTTGCAAATACACAGCTTTTCTAAAGCTCTGATACTAAGGGACAATGCATGTGTAGTACTATGCCTTCCAACATGGCCGTATTCGACACCAGTGGTATCAGAGATGTGAAAAGACCATCTGAGAATATGTTAGTGGGTTGGTTGAACCAATGGACAAGGTCAGGAAGGATGAGCAGGGTCAGAAAGGATGAGCTGGGTCAGGAAGGATGAGCTGGGTCAGGAAGCCTGAGGAGGGTCAGGAAGGATGAGCCGGGTCAGGAAGGATGAGCAGGGTCAGGAAGGACAAGCTGGTTTAGAAAGGATGAGCTGGGTCAGGAAGGATGAGCTGGGTCAGGAAGAATGAGGAGGGTCAGGAAGGATGAGCAGGGTCAGGAAGAATGAGGATGGTCAGGAAGGATGAGCAGGGTCAGGAAGGATAAGCTGGGTCAGGAAGAATGAGGAGGGTCAGGAAGGATGAGCAGGGTCAGGAAGGACGAGCTGGGTCAGGAAGGACCAGCTGGTTCAGAAAGGACGAGCCGGGTCAGGAAGAATGAGGAGGTCAGGAAGGATGAGCAGGGTCAGGAAGGACGAGCTGGGTCAGGAAGGACCAGCTGGTTCAGAAAGGACGAGCCGGGTCAGGAAGGATGAGCCGGGTCAGGAAGGATGAGCGGGGTCAGGAAGGTCAGGAAGGATGAGCTGGGTCAGGAAGGACGAGCTGGGTCAGGAAGGACGAGCTGGGTCAGGAAGGTCAGGAAGGATGGGCTGGGTCAGGAAGGATGAGCTGGGTTAGGAAGGATGAGCTGGGTCCAGAAATATGAGCTGGGTCAGGAAGGATGAGCAGGGTCAGAAAGGTCAGGAAGGATGAGCTGGGTCAGGAAGGTCAGGAAGGATGGGCTGGGTCAGGAAAGTCCGGAAGGATGAGCTGGGTCAAGAAGGACGAGCTGGGTCAGGAAGTATGAGCTGGGTCAATAAGGATGAGCTGGGTCAGGAAGGACGAGCTAGGTCCAGAAGGATGAGCTTGGTCAGGGAGGATGAGCTGGGTCAGGAAGGATGAGCTTGGTCAGGAAGGATGAGCAGGGTCAGGAAGGACGAGCAGGGTCAGGAAGGATGAGCAGGGTCAGGAAGGACGAGCAGGGTCAGGAAGGATGAGCAGGGTCAGGAAGGATGAGCTGGGTCAGGAAGGATGAGCTGGATGATCTGGGTCAGGAAGGATGAGCAGGGTCAGAAAGGTCAGGAAGCATGAGCAGGGTCAGGAAGGTCAGGAAGGATGAGCAGGTTCAGGAAGGATGAGCTGGATGATCTGGGTCAGGAAGGGGGAGCTGGGTCAGGAAGGATGAGCAGGGTCAGGAAGGACGAGCAGGGTCAGAAAGGACGAGCAGGGTCAGGAAGGATGAGCAGGGTCAGGAAGGATGAGCTGGGTCAGGAAGGATGAGCTGGATGATCTGGGTCAGGAAGGATGAGCAGGGTCAGGAAGGTCAGGAAGGATGAGCAGGTTCAGGAAGGATGAGCTGGATGATCTGGGTCAGGAAGGGGGAGCTGGGTCAGGAAGGATGAGCCGGGTCAGGAAGGAAGGGCTGGGTCAGGAAGGATGAGCAGCCTGCAAGCCTGGCACAGTTGGATAAACAATAATGGTGTCAGATTGGTGGGGAGGGGATGTCGCTGAAAGTGTTTGCGTGGGGATAAGGCATGTGTTGATGACAGCCATCACTGCAATATGCTAGCCCAAATGTCATGTTTGTGTCAACCGTTTAGACTATGACAAGTCCATGTTGTGTTTGTGTCAAAGTTATAGACTAAGTCCTCGTTTTGTTTGTGATTGCACTGTGATAATCTTATGAAATACGTTCAGTAGCAGTCAACACCTGCCAGCCTGAAGCTCATAAAGCCAGCATGACGTTAAGCCTGGCCTGAGTAGTAGAATTACAATGTATCTCTGCTTATGCATATTGAGCAAGGTATTGACTTGTTCATATGCTAATGTGCCTAACGTGTTGCCTGTAATCTGTTCCCCCATGTGGCAGTATGACTAAGTATTGGCTGTAATTTCCTGTGACAAGAAGCCTTGAGAGTGTTTCATGTTGTCAAGTTGCCTATTTCAAACAAACCAATTCAAATATTAGTCCTCCATGACAAGCAGAACACGCCAGCTGTCAATATGAAAGAAGTTTGGAAAATAATAAGAGTTATATTGATCCAACAGAGAAAGTGATGTTGATTGTATTGATATGACGCTGTGGATCCATACGCTACTGAGGACAGGTGCAGCAAGTGTCTATTGCCTTTGTTATTCAGCATCTAGTCACAGGTCTACAGGTGGCGAGGGTCAGAAAGTCTTTTGTCATACACTGTGTATCTGCTACTACACTTAAGTTATCACTGTCCTAAGATAAGGTGTCCCCAACAGGGACGGTGAAGGGAATCAGGTGGACGGTGAAGGGGATCAGGTGAAAGGGGATCAGGTGGACTGGATCCGGTGGACTGTGGAAGGGGATCAGGTGGACGGTGAAGGGGATCAGGTGGACGGTGAAGGGGATCAGGTGGACGGTGAAGGGGATCAGGTGGACAGTGAAGGGGATCAGGTGGACGGTGAAGGGGATAAGGTGGACTGTGAAAGGGGATCAGGTGGACGGTGAAGGGGATCAGGTGGACTGTGAAAGGGGATCAGGTGGACGGTGGAAGGGGATCAGGTGGACGGTGAAGGGGATCAGGTGGACGGTGAAGGGGATCAGGTGGACGGTGAAGGGGATAAGGTGGACTGTGAAAGGGGATCAGGTGGACGGTGAAGGGGATCAGGTGGACGGTGGCAGGGGATCAGGTGGACGGTGAAGGGGATAAGGTGGACGGTGAAGGGGATCAGGTGGACGGTGAAGGGGATAAGGTGGACGGTGAACGAGATCGGGTGTCAGGGATGGTGAAGGAGATCGGGTGTCAGGGACCGTGAACGAGATCGGGTGTCAGGGGCGGTGAAGGAGATTGGGTGTCAGGGACGGTGAACGAGATCGGGGGGATGGTGAAGGGGATCAGGTGGACGGTGAAGGGGATAAGGTGGACGGTGAACGAGATCGGGTGTCAGGGATGGTGAAGGAGATCGGGTGTCGGACGGTGAACGAGATCGGGTGTCAGGGACGGTGAAGGAGATCGGGTGTCAGGGGCGGTGAAGGAGATCGGGTGTCAGGGACGGTAAACGAGATCGGGTGTCAGGGGCGGTGAAGGAGATCGGGTGTCAGGGACGGTGAAGGAGATCGGGTGTCAGGGACGGTGAAGGAGATCGGGTGTCAGGGGCGGTGAAGGAGATCGGGTGTCAGGGACGGTGAACGAGATCGGGGGGATGGTGAAGGGGATTAGGGCGGACGGTGAACGAGATCGGGTGTCAGGGATGGTGAAGGAGATCGGGTGTCGGACGGTGAACGAGATCGGGTGTCAGGGACGGTGAAGGAGATCGGGTGTCAGGGGCGGTGAAGGAGATCGGGTGTCAGGGACGGTAAACGAGATCGGGTGTCAGGGGCGGTGAAGGAGATCGGGTGTCAGGGACGCTGAACAAGATCGGGTGTCAGGGACGCTGAACAAGATCGGGTGTCAGGGACGGTGAACGAGATCGGGTGTCAGGGACGGTGAACGAGATCGGGTGTCAGGGATGGTGAAGGAGATCGGGTGTCAGGGACGGTGAAGGAGATCGGGTGTCAGGGACGCTGAACAAGATCGGGTGTCAGGGACGGTGAACGAGATTGGGTGTCAGGGACGGTGAACAAGATCGGGTGTCAGGGACGGTGAACGAGATTGGGTGTCAGGGACGGTGAACAAGATCGGGTGTCAGGGACGGTGAAACGAGATCAAGTGTCAGGGACGGTGAATGAGATCGTGTGTCAGGGACGGTGAAGGAGATCGGGGGGATGGTGAAGGGGATAAGATGGACGTTGAAGGGGATAAGGTGGACGGTGAACAAGATCGGGTTTCAGGGACGGTGAACGAGATCGGGTGTCATGGACGGTGAACAAGGTATGTTGCTTGTGTTGCTTATTTACAGTGTGGGGCCTGTGCGTCTCTTCGTCTTCCTGATGATAAAAATTGAACAGGCTTGGTGTCTGTCACATTTTTGAAGGTGGCCATTTTAATTGTTATCAAATTAGGATAATGACAAGAAAACAATTATATCAGTTCATTTTTGGAAAATCTTCTTCACTGTCCTGTACTAGAATTAGAATTTGAATTTGAATTTGAATTTTGACTACCACCTCTGTCACACTGGTGTTGCATCTTACATTGTTCACATGGTACAAGCAGTCCTTGCAAAGCCTGCGTCCATGTGTTGACTTAAGCCTAGCTAATGCCGGTGATTGAAATCTTG